ATTGCCTGTATCTGTGTGAGTCATTAGGAAGAGTGCTCCGGCCTCAAGACAGAAGCTCCCATCTTAATGAGAGGCTTGAAGTTTAGCAAGATTGAGTCATTTAAAAATAAAAATGCCTATGTAGGAATGTGTTTTAATGCAACACAAATAAAACAAGTAAAAATGAGTGAGACAGGTTTAAGATCCAGCAAACAGTATATCAAGAAGATGCGGAACATGCAGCTCTGGGGCATACCCTTTCGGATCAGCTAAGCTCAGCTTGTTGCCCATAGGCAAGCCCAGTTAACCTAAAGCTAGAGCTTCACATTGCTTGAAGAAAGGTAATTTTGAATGCATTTAAATCTGTGCATGTATAAACCTTATATTCAGTAAAGTTATGCTGATACTTTGGTAGCAAGGAAACCAAAAACAGATCTTGTCTGAGAGGGTGATTTCTACAAAGTGATTTCTAGCACTGTAAGCCGCCCAGAGCATAGAAATGAAATTAAATAAATAAAGTTGAAAGCCCTGATACACTGGTGAAAGGAATCTTAGTCTAAGATGACATCTTGTTGTGCAAACTATCTGGATATGTGTAGTTGAGCAGGTGTCCGAGGACTGCCTACACACTGATAACAGATTTTGAGAGAATCTCTGAGGATGGGTGTATACATAGAGGATGGTGTGTTTACATGTTCATACATGCATGCGCAGACATGTGTTGCTCCATGGCCCTGTACCTGACACTGGATGCACTCCTTCTGGCAAAAGGACTTGTGCATCCGTATTGTAGCCACAGACCTCTGACTAGACCTAGTCATAACAATGCATGCAAGAAGATTAATAATTTGACCTAAAATATCTTTGATCCATTTTTGTAGGCTATTTTGAAAATGGAAGTAATACCTGATGACTGACTACCATTGGTAATCCAGCCTTTGGCTGGTGCATACACAGACATTCAGGGAACAATGTCCATGGGGATGATTTTATTGCAAAAGTATCTTAAAGAGCAAGAGAGACCTGACTAATTCAATCATTTACTGATTGGAGAGAATCAGGAGTGCCAGCAATTTCAGCAGATTCAGGTTGCTGTCTTGACGAGGAATCTCAGACACCTGACCCTGCACTTCACACCCTTCCATTGCGTGCAGCTTCTACTGGACTTTCCAATGGCTCCATGGTTTTGTAATTCTTTGGAAAGATATTGCAGATCCAGTAAAGGATCCAGCAGCACAGTATTAAGAAAGAAACTACTACTTAGAAATGAAAAGATCTCTTATGATTTGTTGCATGTGTTGGTTTTTTAAAACTTAATATTGTTGTAAGTCTTGTTTTCACTTTAAACTGGGAGATAGTTGGAGGGGAAATCTGTTCCTTTGCATTGAAATGCATGTCTGTGTTTTAAGCCTAGAGAGATAATCTAAATATATTTTAATGACAAAGGAAGGTCAGCTTCTGTTTTGTTTTTAAATCTATAAATGTGGTGCAAGATGGAGGAATTCAGAATTTCCTCATACAATGGCACTTCCAGAGAAGGCTTTTACCATGCAATCTCATTCATGAAACATTCAACAAGTTTGACAGGCCAGCCCTGGAGTGGCTTACTGAAATTAGATGCAGGGAAACAACGGAGGAGAGCAACCATGGTAAGCAAGGGAAGAATTTAGGATTATGTCAATTGCAGACACTTTGGCTTGGTCACAGTAGAGTATTGGGACTGGGGAGGAGGGTGGAGGGACAGGATATTCAAAGGATTCCTGGAAATAGTAATCTGAGGCAGGAGGAAGGGTCCAGGTGGTGTTTTGGGATGCTGTTGCAAGCATATGGGATTGCAAGTGAGAAAATACGGAGTTGCATTAGGGAGCAGGATATCTTTTTTGAACAGCTGAGAGGCAAGTACAAACAAAGGTAAGCAGCATTAGGGGATAAGCTGGGGCAAGAGCAACGTGGCTTGGATGAGAAGGACATTGTGCTGTGTCTGGGAACGGACAGGAAGCCAGTGCAGAGACCATACTCTGCAGGGAGGGAGTCGCACTCTCAGAGCAGTGAGCAATGTGAATAATTTTGCCAGCAGTTCTTGGCTGCAGGTATGCGGGCAAAAGTGAGTCAGCAGAGGGCCAGAGAGAAGACAGCAAGGAGGACAAGTAGGAGGCTGCACATGGGAAGGAGGCCTGGAAGAGTGGGATCCCCCACCAGAACTGGAAGGCAAGTTTTGCTTTCTGTGTCCTCAGAAGCAGGACTTCCACCGAGACTATAGGCAAGAGCAGCCTTCTCCAAAATGACATGGGTAGCTCCCAAAGACACCATCAGTGCCAGCAGGATTACAGTCTAAAATTAGACTGTGGATAGAAGATGATGCAAGGGAAAAGAAAGACTGGCTTCGAGGTTACTTAATTGGATTGCACACGAATGAGGTTGCTGATTAATTTTATGTTGGGTGTTGAGCTGTAGAGAAACTTCAGAGGGGCACCAAAGGAAAACAATTCAGGATCTGGCCGGATGGAAGAGGAGGGCCTCCAGCCCTCGTGGCCGTGTGCTAACATGGTCTCTGCTCACAGAACATGCTCAGCTCTCTCCAGGGTGCTCATGCAGGATCACCCCACATATTTTTGTCCTGTGACAGATGTGAAGATTTTGCCAGCATTTGCTGGTAACTCCTCCTCTTGTGCAGACAGTGTCAGTTAAAAACACAAGGATGAACCCGTAGGGAACAAGTTTGCTGTTTGCATGAAAGGTGGATCTTTTAGGTACTGATTAGAGTAATAAGTCTCAGCTATGCTAGTATTTCCAAGGGCTGTGGCAGGATAGAAACAAAATATGCATTCCAGGTAGCTACTTTGTATTCTCTGCTGTGATGTCTCAACCTGGTGCTGTGTATGTTTACTCAGAACCAAGTTCCACTGCTTTCAGTGGAACCAGTTAGATTTAGCCAGACCCATTTATCACTGAACACGAATGGTGAGAAAATACTATCTTCATATAATACCTTATTATTATATCTTCATATAATATGCCTTAAAATGTACAATCATGTAATAAATATATCCAGGTGTGAAAAGATCCTGCACCATCTGGGAGGGTAACCTGATAAGCCATCTGTCCTTGTCAAAAAGTTTGCTATAGTGGCTGATAAAGATTGTATCTGAGATGTGATTTAGACAAACTTAACCTTCAAGCAGCCACAAACAGTATCTCAAAGAGATCCTTAATGAAGATGCTTCTGAATATATTTTCAAGCAGCAGTGACCACACACGGTGGAGGATGCAGCTCCAGCTTCAATTGTGGCATCGTCTCAGAGAGACTTTGCTGCAAAGATTGCCGATAGCTCACACACATTTGTCTTGCATGCAGGGAGTCATGGAAAGGCTCACAACTTCACTGGTTTAGGAACAGAATGTGAGTAGAGCTGAGCCAACACGTTTCTTATTCTCATCCCTGCTTGGAGAAAGCCACTTTACAGAATTTCTTCCAAAGACTCCCCCATAGACTTTGCCATTCCCATCCCGCTTTTCTGGAATGCCAGTAGGTGCAGGGTATGGGGTGGGGGCTGCAAAAGGGTGCTGGTCTGCTAATACAGCCGCTTCTACTGCCACTTTTGGGGAAAGCAGCAGGAGTGCTTTCAAAGGCCCAGAATATAGTATGAAGGCACATGTTGAAGCTGAGCAGGTCGGGGGCTGACCTGAGCTTGGAGGAGAGACCACCTGGGAACTGCATCCAGCCACCTTGAGTTCCACAATGGAAGAAAGGTGGAATCTAAGTAGAATAAATATTTTTTGTGGGCCACAAGAGAAATAAACTTTGGGTCTGCCACTGCTAATAATAATAAGCCTTGTTCCTGCCTCCAGTAGAATGATTGTAGAATTTCTCCACCTTCAGAAAAAATTGTTGAAATGGCCTGCCCTATGTCCTTCCCTAAAAGAACTATGAAGAGTTTGGAGCTGCCATTTCTGTGTAGCTATACATTCAAACCCTTTATAGGACTGTTGAATTTTAGACTTGCTCAGAACTTAGTTCTACTGAATTCAAGAAGATTTATGCATTAGTAATTATTGGAAGGTTGGTGATGAATGGCTGTCACCCCAAATGACACAGCTCTTATCATGTAGTCATTCTCTCTCCAGATCTGTACCACCTGCCCTCATTTTTAGGCCAGACAATCTCTGTCACTGCCTGACTATCAAGCACAAATGCTCTCATGTGATGTGCCAAAGGTATCCTAGTTTTTCTCGCTTGGTGATCACAGGGTAGACCTCTTCCTCTTCATGGCAGCCCTTCATGTACTTGTGGAATGCTATCCTATCTCCCTTCAGTCTTCTCTTCTTGACGCTAAACATGCCCGGGTCTTTCCATCTCTGCTCATAGGGCTTTGTTTCCATCCTTGTCGTCCTCCTCTATACCCTTCCCAGTTTGTCTGCAGTGTGTGGATTGTTCAGACCTTACCAGCCTTGGTGTTCAACAAGCTAGGGTGCTGTGGGATCATGGACGCTGCCTGTACTGTGCCCTAATACTCTTGCCTATCAGCTCCTAAACTTTCTTTCTTTCTTGGGTCCTTTGGGGCTTTGACATGTCCTTCCTTGATATCCCACACATGCTGGGTGACAAAGCAGATCAGTTCTCCGGCTGCCTGGTTGTTTTCGTTTTGGAGCACTCCTTCCCCTCCTTTTCCCCATACTGAATGTCTGCCCATTCTCATCTCCTGTTCTCCTTGATACCTCATTCTCTTCCTCCATCTGAGCTGACCCTGATGCAGTGCCTTGGAGATGCCCTTGGCCTTTCTTCCTCCTACAGAGAGAGACATCCCTTGGCTACCTCTAGTGCCTTCTATCACAGGTGAAGAGGAGAGAGAGATCCACAAAAGTTTAGCTCTGGTATTGATCCACATGAACACAGTGTCACTACCCTGAGACAGAGGCTTGGTAAAAAAGTGCCCTCTACACTTTCCATTGCAACAGAAATAAAAATAGATCATCATGAGATCACTCTTTAATAAGGTTAGGAAAGGAAGTGGACTTGAGTCTTATGGAGAGCAGAGTTTGCCAAGGAAAAGGACAGTATTGGTAGGGTTATGTTGGATGCAGAAGAGGAATGGGTGATCAACCAAAAACAGATCATAGGTTACTAAGGATCTGATGGAAATCACTGCACCAGCTACAGCTGCTGCTTCAGTGCCCTCTTCATTGACCTCCAAAAAGGCCTTATGAAGAACATTAGACAAGAAGAGTGGGTGGGAGGGCGACATTCCAGAAAGGTTGGCTTTTGACTTATCAAACACATCAATCATCCCCAGGGCTTGCAAAGTCATGTTGAGGTCAAAGGAGTCCTCTAGCTTAAACCTGGGTATATACACCTCCACATGATCTTCTTCCATATTTTCAGATGCAGTCCAGTGGGCAAAATTCTCACAGGTCATTGCGCTCTCAACCTTTAGAGTAAAAACAGCATTCACAATTAGTGCAAATCACATCAGAGAAGCTCAGAACTGAGGGCCTGGGGGGAAATGGTTGTGAGGTAGGGATGGGGCAATTTTTTCAAAAAAAATGTTGCGGGGAGCTCAAACATGCATTAAGCACTTTTGGTTGGATCCAAATAATAATTACTATTATTAGAATAGGATAGGATGGGGTTTTTGGAGTGGGTAAGATTTCAAGCGATCCATAAGACTAATTATACACGTGCTATATGTGCCCATGTAATTATATAAAGCAGAACATACTACTGTTGTTAAAAAAAACCTATAAATAAATTTCAACAAAGGCAGGCCAACATCCATATATTTATCAATTTGTATATTATGCCTAAATATAATCTATTCAAACATGGAACGTTTCATCAAATCTTCCACCCATTGCATTATCTCAGGTGTAATGTTATTCTCCCAATATTGAGGTATTAGTCTTTTAGCAGTTAAAAGGGTGTGGAAGATCCAGTTATGCTGACCTTGCATGAAATTCCAAGATATGGGTAGGTAGTCAAGAAGGTTGATTGAATCCAAACTAAGCTGTACTTAGAAATCAAAAGGATTTAGGTGACTCAGGCCTCACTTAAGTCTCACTGGTTTCAGCACATCTCCAAGTATGACTAAATCAGAATCCAGCTTCCTGAAAATCATGTAAAGGTGATCAAAGGCCCCTTGTTTGGGTCAAGCCATGCAATGAATTACAAATGGAAGCCCCTGCAGACTAAAGCAAGGAGATGGGGAAGGCACAAGCCCGCTATCCAGCGAAGCAGGTCCACCCACCAGGGGAAGGAGCCCTTGGCACCAGCCAAGCTAGTCTCTGCTGGAGCTGCCTGCCTGCTGCAGTGGAAGCAACAGCTGTGAGCAGGCTCAGACCCTCATTTGCCACCCAAGGAACAGCACCTGCAGTCGATCACACCTCAAAATGGCCGTCTAGGCATGCTCTGAACTGTCCTTTTCACTTTCTGGGAGCAGACTTTGAATTAGGAGAGCACAGGGAGGAGCTAGTGCTTTGTGCAACGAAAACAAGTCTGACTGTGACCTGGTTTGCATGAATGATAAATATTCCTAGCATAACTATGGTTTGCTGTGTCATCTGAAACCACTATGAGCTGTTTGATCGTGTGTCCTAGTTCCATGTGCCCTACAGAGCAGCCTTCTATTTGAAGGGCTGTTGGAGAACTGTCTTCTGTTTGAAGGCCCCATCAATGTGAAGGGTTGCTCCATCCCAGTAGAATGGAAAGATGAAGGACCATAAGAAAGAACAGCTGATCCATCCCAATTAAGTAAGCACACAGACCAGCTGGTCACAGCTCTATTTAAGCTAGATGCATTTCTCATTCAATATTGCTGTGTATTTTTATTTGTGTGTGTATAGTGCTGTGAACTGCCCAGATAGCATCTGGCTATGGGGTGGCATACAAATGCTTTTTGACAGTATGTAAAAACACTGTAATCTCTTGCTATGTCAGAGTTTTTTATTTATTTATTTTTCAATTTATATCCTGCCTTTTTCCTACAAAGGGCTGAAGGCAGCTTACATCATTCTCCTCCTCCATCTTATCCCCACAACAACAACCCTGTGAGGTAGGTTGGGCTGAGAGTCTGTGACTGGCCCAAAGTTACCCAGTTGGCTCCATGGCTGAGCGGGGACTAGAACCCAGGTCTAGGGTTGTATCAAAATAAATGTGTTTTAATACTTATTCCAGTAATCATAGATCAGATCAAGCATAATTTAATTCACAAAACTACTGTTCTAAGAGAAATAAAATAACTCCCCTTGTTTTCTTTATTCTCTCTGTTGATTTAATAAATATGTTGGATTAATGTGCAGCTGCTTAAATATTTTCTTCAGGTTTCTTGAGGAGGGTTCACTTTCTTTTCTGCCCAAGGTGGAGCCTAATGAAACTATTGCCCTAGGGCTGACTGGAGCGCTCTCTCTGTCGTCTCTGTCTCTGTCATGCACATGCACGCGCGCGCACACACACACACACATACGTGTGTGCATGCATTGTTAAGCCTTGTATCTGTGCATACCATCTTTTCCCTCCTCCTTTTCTATGTGGCATAAAGGATGCCTCCTGGTTTAATCAACCTTGTCCAAACAATGAAAACTGCAGTAACCAGGGACACAAACAGCCAGGATCCAAAATCACAATTCAAGGTTCATTTCAGAATTTGCAAAGTTCTTACTGGCTTGTAATCTTTTGGTTTGGTGACTAAGGTCAAGCCAGAAAGTTTTCAATCACAGTCCAGTGAAGAAGAAAGAGGGAAGAAGTGGCCACACTCTCAGTAAGGTGGGAAACATACATCTGAACGGAGCATTATTTTACGTCTTTGCAATGCACACTTTAATGGATGTACTTGGCAGCTTGCTTTTGATTTACCTGTTCCAGATCACCGATGTCCTTTGGCAGCATGATGAGCATAGAGAGCACTTCGCCAACATAGGGGAGGCAAAGGATCCGTGCATTTGTCCCCCTCATGTATCCCAGCTTAAAAATACCTTTCTGATGCATCATGTGCACAGGTTTACTTGCATTCTGGTTTGCATGTTAAAAAAAGAGATAGACATGTTTAGCGAACACACACATACTCCCATGCTGCAAACCAACATAACAAGGAGACTACAGGTTGTCCAGTTCATTTCTTCTGTAAGCTGATGGCATGGATGCTAAACTATGTTGCACGAGCCCATTTGTCAAGTTGGAGAAATTGCCGCTGATGGCATGGAAGGGCTTGGCGAAGGAAAATAGCGATAAACCAGGAAAACATTGATTTGGAAAACCTCAGTTCAACCACAAACTGGGTGGTGTTCTGCTACCTCACAAAGTTGCTGTCACATTACTGAGTAATGTAGGTTACATGCTTTAAACACATGCTTGTGAGCTTAATGTGTGCTCTGGCTGTCCTGATTCAGTAAAGGAAGTGCCAGTTTTCTGCTTCTTCTTGGTGGCAAAAATGCTGCCCCGTTATTCCTTTTGCTGAGATTTTGCGGGTATTGCTTTACAAGTTTGGTTGCTCTTGCTGAGTCTTCTCAAATTCTGCAATAGGTTTAGCCAGATCAAGCTTAAGGTTCAAACTGACACTTCATTCATGCCATTTCATAACATATTTGAATCCTCTCTGAAAGGCCACATGTTCCTAAAAAACAGTGCACTCCATTATGCCGAAGTACCTTGCTCAACCTAAAAGCTCTTTCTACGGTGCAATTCGGATCAAACTGGTGTTCCCAAGTTGCCTTGAAGTAGACGGCATTCCCCAGCACCAGCACAGCTTCTGGCCCAATCACGCCTGGAGCAAAAAGTTCCTTGATGGTTCCTTAAAGAACAGAAATTTGCAGTTAGTATGGAAAAATTAAAGGTTTGCATGCTGTTTATGCTCAGTCAAGTGGATTTCATGGCTTGAGCATCACAGAAGCAAGCACTTTGTGCATCTACAGAATATGTAAGGAGGCACAATAGGACGCAACGAAGTGGCTTCTTGTTGCACTTCCATCTGAGGCACAGCTGGTGGCGCCATATGAATCTGAAGAAGGCCTTCCCAGTGGTAACACTGCAAGCTGTGGACGATCCAGCTGTACCACCTTCCTCAGACTCTGAGGATGTGACCCCAGCTGCTACCTCCTGTTTCTTTGCCATCTCCCAAGAAAGGACCCCTGGGAGCTGTCCGTGGTCCTGACTTGCTGGCACCTGATTCCCCCAGCCCAAAAGACTGCTGGTTCCGCTTTGGCTGCAATCTCCATACCTCAGCAGGCAATGGCGCCTATGGCCCTCTTACCCTGGGTTTGTCTTTCAATCTCAAGGTTGATTATCTCCCTTGCTTCTTCAACAGCATTAGAAAAGTCCACTGTCTGTAGCATAGCTCCAAAAGTTTCCTTAGTGAAAGTGAGGTATTGCTGTAGGATTTAAAAATATGTACATGAAAAGGTTTGAGTATGTCCTAGATAAGGGGGAGCTAAGCCAATCTTGGGCTACAGCTCCCAGCATCCCAGCAGGGCAACAAGAGGGAAAGGGCTACACTAAACACTGATGTAAGGCAGAGGTGCATGGATGCTTTACTGGGAGTTTTGCATGGGGTCATTCCCTTGCCCCAACTGAAGGACTGAACCCAGAGGCTTTCGTGCACCATGGGGGTACTCTACTGAGAGAGGTGGCTACGTTGAGAGTGAGGCAGCACTCACCTGAAGAAATTTGTGTCCTGCTTGTATGAACAAATTGTTGGCCAGGTTCAGCTGGTACGCAGGACTGAGGTTATTCAGCTGCAAAAGGAGTTTCTTGAATTCTGAGGTGGCTCTTTCTTCCTGGCCATGATATGAAGGACAGATTCAGGACAATTGAATTGAGTGTCTCACCGTAAATAGTTGAATGAAAGGCTCCATTTGCTTCACACTGGTGGCCAGGTAATTCAACACGCTACTCATGGCTTTTTCTGGGCTTGAAAGGGGCATTTATCTGCAACAAGTTTCCAGCCTAGCACCTCCTGGTCAGGGCCTGGGAGCAGCCCTCAATAAGGCCTCTTTGCCTTCCTTTTCAGACAGTGGCAGGGCCAAGAGAAGGGCCTTTGCTGAAGCTCCTAAACCAGGGCAGCTCCTGAGGGAGAACGAAGCCTCAAGGCACCTTTGTCAAACTAATTTAAGCCCCATTTATTTCAAAGGGCGTACCTGGTATGACCAAGTCTGGACTCCACAGCCCCCTGAACATAGGATTGCCTGTGCCACAGGTCACTGGGGGTCGCTGCTGCCCCCCATGCTTGGCCTGGCCATTCCCTTCAGCTGCTCACAGGAGGCTTTTCCCTTCTTCAGCATGGCCTGAACCCAGGCCAGAGAAGGCTGTGTGCGTGCTCTGCAGGCCTCCTGTCAGGGCCCTGGGGTCATACGGACTCTTCCTCTACCCGCTGTGTGTTTCCAAAATGTTCCCTGTGGACACAACATCAGGGACACAAGAGGGCTCCCGGAGGCCCTGCACAGTAGCTCCTGTTGGAATCCTTGGACAGTTACCTGTAAGGGACTGAGAGCAGTTGGGAATGTGCGTTCGGCTTTCAGTGGGGGCAGCCAGTTCTGGTTGGCCCCACTGCACCTGATCTATGCCTGTGGCTGGTATGCCCAGCCACGTACCAGGTTGCCACAGAATCAGCGGCCCGAGTGCCAGCCCTCCATCCTAAAGAGTCGAAATGCCTCTCCCGTGGCTTAGTGACTGGCAGGAAGAGTTTAAGTGACCATATGTTGGCATTTTTGGCCTGCTTCTCCTTGGCTTTGGCCCCACCCACAACTGGAAAGTGTCCCCTTCCAGCTGAGAGCTTTTCAGACTGCTCTCAGATTGGAAGAGATTCAACTTCCCTTGTGCAGAGGATCACCCCTCCTGCCTTGCAAGAGCACAAAATACAGGGCTCTGTGTCAGTGCCTGGGGTGTGGGAGGCTGGCTAGCAGAAAGGAGCACCAGGACCCGGGCAGCTGGGCTGGGGCACAAGGGTCAGTCCAGAAGCACAGTCAAACATCCAAAGGTCAGGGCCGGGAGCTGAAACACAAGGACAGGTCCGTGCAAGAGCCAAACATGGCCAGACAAGCCAGGAGTCAGGAATCCAGGAAGGCAAACTAAAGCTACTCTGAGGGCTGGAGCAAGGCAGGAGCTCCAGGAGCGAAGTCCAAGACCCCACAAACCAGGAGCACTTCAGCAACTCAAAGAGCTTTCTTGCCAAGGCAGCTTCTGAGGGGAAGAGCCAGTTCTTATATAGCTCTTCCCGCAGGACTCCCAGGAGGAGCGCATGAGAGCCCTGGCAGCTGCAGTAGAGCAGGGCCATAATCCTGCCTCCACCAGGGCTGCTGTGCTGGTCCTGGACCTGAAGCTGCCTTGGGTCTTGACAAGATGATGCTGGTTGGCACAGCTTAATCCTATGGATATTTAAATGAAAAATACCTGTGGGTGTCCCACGGAAAGGTGACACACACTCACGGACTCCTGTTCTGGAACAACTTCAGATGTTTTACCTGCAGAAGCAGGTAATAGCCTCGTATCTCCTGGAGTTCTAACAAAGTGGAGTGCCTATAAGAAGAAATGTGCTGTTAGCAATGTGAAGTAGGACATGTAGGTCCCGAGGAAACCCATTGATGGCAATTTAATGCGGAGAGAGTACAGCTCCTAAGAGAATTAGTGCAGGCATTGGTTGGTGGTGGTCATTCACAGTTCTGAAAATAAGGCATGAGATAAGATATAGAATCTGCAAGATCATAACCCATGTCTCTGTGACAAGAGGGTGCTGCAAATGCCTTAAATGTAGCATTTGAACAATGAGTGTGTTAGAAACCTATTTTTCACTGTGCAACCTATATCCAGCACTATGTCTCTTGAGAGAAACTACTTCTGGAAAAATATATTTTGAGAGAAGCTATATTTTAAAATGTGCAAGAATATTTTTAGAACCAGGTGAATTTTAGCTTCTGAATATATATGGAAATTACTTAGATACATATTCAAAGACAAGATTTCATGTGGATTTAAAGAACAGAGAGCAAAGAAAGCTCACAGATGAATGCAGAGATGGGACAGAACAGTTGAGCCGCCTTTTGCTCCTCGCTTGGGAGAGGTCTGGTTCTGCTGTCATTCCTCAGTATCAGAGACAGCTACGGCATCCTGACTCTACAGTTCTGTTAGAAGGCAGCGTTACTGTGCCTAGGCTAGGAGATGAGCTGTTTGTTATTTTCTTACTTGGGCGGACCAACACTGGGAGAGGGGCACTGGTTGTCTGCAACTTTTTGCCTAATTTTTGCTTATGCAAACGTATATGTATAGATGCAAATTTAGAAATCATTATTCTAATTCATATATTTTATTTATTTATTTGCATTTGTTGCATTATTTGCATTTATATACCACCCTAGTAGCCCAGAGGGCTCTCTGGGTGGTTTACAAATATTAAAACGTACCAATCCTAAACAAATAAATAAATTGGCTTTAAAATTAATAGCATTAAAATTAACTAACTTTAAAATATTGGTTAAATAAAAAGGTCTTGATCTGGCACCGAAAAGCATATAATGACAGCGCCAGGCGGACCTCTCTAGGGAGCGCATTCCATATATAGCAATATAGTACATCTTACCATATTGTGGAAGATTGTGACCAGGTGACTTACGTGCCTTTGCGGTCATCCTGCAGTCCAGGTGTCAATTTTTGAAGGGTAACATATTTAGGGCTCATTATCTTTAAACTGGGTTTGCACAGGGCAGCTTGTCAACTAGAGGCCAGTCCTCTGAGAGCCCTTCAAACAGAGGACTGACTCCTGCAAAAGGGGTCATGTGACCACCAAGTTGATCAAGGCCAAAATGTCTGGGGGCCCCAATTGGAGATGGCTGGATTGCAAACTTAAAGGCCCTCCACACTCACTGGACGACAAGTCCTAGCATACTTTAGCCAGGAGTGTGCCAGACGGCTTGAGGACCAGGATGGTTTGGTTCTGTTCACTGATCATCAGCACTGGATGTCAGAGAGGTGCCAGCAAAGAAAGGGGTCATTATAGGAAGCACCTGGTGGTACATTTGTCTCGATGCTTACCTTTTCCATCTGAGTTTTAGTGCTTCCCATGGCACCTCCCACAACCATGGCCATAGCAGCTGAGATGCTCAGAGGAGAGATGAAGACATTTTTGCAAGCACCACTTTTATTCAGTTTATTATAGACATCAAGACCAAATGCAGTGACTGCTTGAGAAAGGGAGTCCTTGGTGCAGCCCAGATCCATGACTAGGAAGGGAAAACAGAAAGAGAATGAACTAAGTAGATATGAAGTAATGGAATGCTAAAGTTAGTTGTCAAACTGGTTTTATTATATTGCAATGTGGAAACTTCCTTTTTCCAGGCAAGAGAGTTACCAAAATTTCTGGGTGTGGTGTAATACAGTTACGCCCATCTTTGCATAGCAATTAAAGGGTAAACAGACTGAAACACATCAGCTACAGCTCTTCAGGGAAACCTGCAAGAAACTATTTAGTCTAATTCAAATGCACAATTGTTACTGATTTGGAACTACAATGCCAAGGAACAACTCAGGCCAGGTGTAAGTGTGGAGGGAACTACCATACAAATCAAATCTGCTTTATTCTTTTTTTTATTATTATTACTTTTTTCAGAAACTACTTTGAGCAAAATAATACTAAAAATAGGAGACTGAAGTGACAGTCCATTACTCCACAAGTGAAAAACATCATCTGCTAATGAAATCATGTAACCAGCGGATTTTTTAACGAGTTTTTGATGTTAGTAACTGGGGTTGGGGAGGGTGACTCATCCTTGCATGCTGGCAGATCTAATGTTGTGCCTGCACCGAACTGGCCCACCTGCTCTGGCCTTAATTAAATTACTGTTCTTCAGCTGCTTGTCTGTTCACAAACAACTACAAAGCCACCTTATTTACATGGGTTGCTTCAGAGGCAGAAAAGCCTTTCTACAGCAATAAGCCCATCCTGAAAGCAACCTCACTGCATCTAATGCAAACTAACCTTTTCTTCTCCAAGATGAGTTCTGAAAAAGCAGCACATTTCCTACACAGAAAATCTAACTCAGGAAACATAAAACTGCACGGAGAGCAGTGACATCTCTAAAAGCTCCAGCAGAATCCTAAAACAGTTCTGCAACTGTTTCTTGTTTAAATCTTCATGCTATTTTAAGAAAAGTAAAATTAACAATAAAATGTGCTGGTTAACTTAAATAAAACCTGACAACTGATCCAGCATCAAGTTGTTGGATTATATACCTGCAATGCAAGTGGCAAAACCAAACTCACATCATAAGTGGAAAAACTCAGTGTTCCAAACCTGTATCTGTCTTCACCCAAATAATCTTGTTTCGTACCCTTGACTTTAAGATCAGTCTAAACTAGCTTTCCCCAGCCCGGTGCCCTCCAGATGTTGTGAACCACAGATCACCTCATCACAATAGGCAGCTGTGTATTCTTAGGTTTATATGGAATTCTTAGACTGTAACAACTACAGTACATTTTATAAGTGTATTCCAGGTTTGATTGTATCCTCCAATTTGGCTTGTTTGCTTGTTTCTAGATTGCTTGTACACCACTGAATTTTAGCTTATGGTGCGATAAAATGCTTATTTGAAATTGCAATATGTAAAGGTCTGAGTGCTTTATATCTTATCTCCCATTCTGCCAGCGTACAACAAAGTTCCCATCAAAGGACTGCACCACAATCCGCTTTTCCAGATGCTTGGGTGGGATGGTTGGGTTGGTCCTTGCTTCATTAGTTTGGGTCATCAGCATTTTCCCCAGGTAAAAGGGTCCTTACAGAACACGTGTGTATCTCAGCACAAATCGCATGCGCTTCCCTTCCAGTGCAAATAGCAGCTTCAGAGGATAAACAGCAGGGCAGGGGAGCTTTGGGTTGTAGTCCTGCTGCAGGTCTGCTTCCCAGCAGCTCTTGACCTTTACAAAACATGCATCTTACTTCCCTCCACCCAATAAACATCCTGACTTACTGTGTCCTATGGCTGTGGGCATAAAGCTCTCTCACACATTGCCCCCTTGACTCCAGTATTATATATTGAAATTTGCATCATGCCTCAAATGTATGGGTTGGCATTTCTGTTGCACCCCACCAGTATCCCAAGGCTGCAGTCCTGCAGACCAGCTTTCCCCAGTCTGGAAGATATTTTGCATGATAAATCCCAGGGTTCAGGAATGGATGGGATAAAGTCTGAAAGGTACCAGATGGGGGAAAGCTGTATACTGGGAGTAAGTCTCACTGAACTCAGTGAGGCTTCTTTCTGAGCAGACATGCGTGTGCTATAAAAGTTTCCCTTGAAAAATCAAAATCTTTAGGCATGCTATTACTTAAGCAATTAAAATTTTATTACCTCTTTGTCTCCTGAAGTTCAGAGATGAGGTGTGCTCTATGCTCTCTCTTCAGCCTTCTGGGAAAACTGGAATAGAAAAGCGATTGCCACGCCCTGCAATTCCTATTCCAGTTGCAGTTGACTTTGCAATGTTTTTGTTCTCTTGCCACACCTATTTACCAAATTTACTTTTGATTGCCCACCAGTATAAGTTTAGTGAATTAGCTTTATGCTACAACTAATTGCATCCTCTCTTATACCAACAGAAATATGGAAGCAAGAGCATAACACTTTGCAAGAATGAAGAGAATAAGCAGAATTCATTTTCCATTCCACCAGGTAAAGTTGCTCCTCTCTTTAGTATGTTTAAAGTGTTTTACTTGAAATTTAAATATTTACAGGACAACCTGATGCATATTTACTTAGAAGTAACTCCAATTAAGTTCCTAATAATAATGACCTGATGAGCTAAAATGTCTTTATTTATCACAATGGTATCCCAGCCTTCCTGTCATCAGCGATGGCAGTGAATTTCTAAACCAAAGTTCTAAAAGCATCTTCAAAGTACAAAAGAAAGAAAATATGGTAAGAAGGATAGAATTACAAGAGTAAGAGATGTAAGCGCTCCTCATCCTGCAAAAAAACAGTCCATCGTCCTTTAGACATAATTTATACACACACCCACACAAAATTTATTTCAAAAATATCCAGGTAAATATTTAAATATAGGTCTAGAAATAATGCTAATTTGGTGCCAATGCGATGATGCTCAGAATGGTGTCCGAGGGTCAGGATGCCACCACAGAGAAACTCCTCTTATTTCTAAATGCTTATTTATTTACTTGAGTTTTAACCCTCTCCTGAACAGGCCTGAACAGGCCGTTAAATGCCACCTGACTTGTGCTCAGTGGTAATCAGGGAGCCAGCATGGCTCCTTCAGAGTCGGGGCCATGTGTGGCTGCCTCCTCCCGGGTGCTGTGTGGCTGCAGAGGTGCCTGAAGCCAGGGATGCAGCTTCTCCTCACCCCAGGTGAGTCTTCCTCCACAGCGCTCCTGCATCCCCAGTGCAGGGCACGAAGGAGGCACCTCATTCAGGGGTTGCTGCCAGCACAATCCGAGTCCATTTGTGTCGGACATGGCAGCCTCGTTGGGATGACAAGCAGTGTGCCAAGTCTGGCTGGAGCTGGAAGGAAAACCAGAGAGAGCCTGTCACGTTCAATGTACTTAATCCTAAATATCTGCATTGATTTCTGCAGCAGAGGTTGAGGCCAAAAAGATTAAGGCTACTTCTCTATATCGGAATATAGGTTCAAAAACTTATATAAGGTTTTTTTAAAAATTAGTATCTGTTTTTAGATTTGGCTATTGGTTTGCTGCTCGTTTATTGTTTTATTGGTTATTGTTTTATTGGTTATATTGTGTTTATTTCCTCCTGTTCTATTTATATGGTTATATTTATATTGTATTTTATGGTTTTTGTGGTTATTGTTATTTATTTGTGTTTTTCTATTGCTCTGCGAGCTGCCCAGAGAGCTTCTGGCTATAGGGCAGCATACAAATGCAACAAGCAAACAGGAAAACTTTAATATGAAGATCTCTCTTCTTTGGAAAATGATTTTGATCTCTTCATTAGTTATGACTTGTATGAATTGTGACAGGCACAGAAACACCAGTGGGTGAGCTTTTTCCCAGAGAGTCCCAGCAAACTGATATTTTTTTCACATCCTACCATTCAAGGGTCCATCCAGTCAAGCACTGTGTTCTCACAGGAACCAGCTAGCTCTCAGAAGAAACCCACACGCAGAATATGACTGCAACAGCACCTTTCTGCCATATTCCCTGGTGTACAGAGGCATGTTGCCTCTCATAATGGAGTTAGCTTAAAGCCATCAGGACTAGTAGTCACTGCTAGTCCTCTCCACCATGAATTTGTCCAGTTCCCCTTTGAGGCCATCCAAATTGCTGGCCATCACTGCATCTTTTAGAAGTGAACGCCATAATTTAAGGAAGCACTGTGTGAAGAAGGAATTCTTTGCGTGTCCTGGATCTATCACCGCTCGGGTTCATGGGAAGACCCTGGGTTCCAGTATTGTGAAGAAGGGAGAAAAATGCCCATTTTTTCCACAGTGTGTATGCTTTGCACAGCTCCATCATATCTCCCTTACTTGACCATAAAGAGTCCCAGACGTTGTGACCTTTCCTCACAGGAGAGTTGTTCCTGATCCTTGATCATTTTAGGTGCAGCTTTATTGATTGCACCCTCAAAGCTCATAAGCCACCAGATTCAGAGGCTTAATGGCTATCCAGGGCAGAGGAGAAGCCCAGGAGAACTTTACCTCCAAGCTTCTTCTACTCCACATTTTAACTAGAATAATATGTTCAACCTTCAAGCTGGTGTACTGGAGGAGGGAGTGCAAAGGGTAGAGTTCTGTTAGGACTATTTCCATGCTGTCAGGAAGGGGATGAGGATGACTTCTATCAAACTTGAGACTCTTTTTATTATTGACTAGAGAAATGGGACTTTGCATAGATTTAAATATGTTTTTAAATTATCATAAATGGAAAAAAAAAGGTGTGGAGGAAAAGAAGGGTGTGGAGGCTGACTCAGTGGGCTTGATGTTTTTGATGATGGATATTGTTTGTAGATTTCTTTTTGTTTTTTAGGATTATAATTTCAAATAAAACTTATTAAAAAAAAAAAAGGAAGGGGATGAGGAGAATTGGGGCGCGAGTTCCCAGCTCTGAGGTTGGAGTAACTGTCTCCAGTCTGCAGTTGGGGAATTAATTATCTTCTGCCCGCACCTCCATACAGTATCTGCACACCAGAGGATCGCTCCCTCCATTGCTCTTTCTACATTTTTTCCCACCCTACAATATCTTTTTAGGTACAGTGACCATACAGGATGTTCAAAGTGTGATTGCACATAACATAGGAAATATTGCTTTCCATAGGAAATATGCCAGAGAGGCCTGGGATTTAGGTTGCCAGCTTCCATCAGACAAATTGCTGTCAACTGGATCACCAGGAGTATTTCCTTCTTCCCGTGAGGGTGTGACTGTGATGTCTCCATGACAATGGCGGCCAGGTCTAAACCTGTTTAAGGTGGTTTTATGAGATGCAGTGAGATCGCCCTGAGCACTGGTGAGGTGCTGCAATCCTTGGGCCAAATTATTTAAACTCTCATGATGTGGAAAAGCAGAGCCAAGTGGATTTACGTTTCTCAACACTGGATGATTCATAGCTGACTGCAAGCTTTCTCCTTGTGCTGGTTTGGAGCAATGCAAAAGCTCATTCAAATGCAAACCGTTCTTACAATTAAGAGATCAATTTCTATGGACTTTTGTAACTAAGGAAGATAAAAAAGCCAGGCTTGGTGAGAACTAAATTTCCCAGACTAAAGAAGTGATTTATGCTGCAACAGAATTTTAGTTGTCAGTGTCTAAAAATAATCTGCATGTGTGGGATATCATGCAAGCTAGATGCAAGAACTCCAGGATGGGTACTGTCAGCTCCAGACAAGAACAGAGTGATTGTCAACAGCTGGTAAAGTTGCCACCTCTGCATTGGGAGGTTAACATCACCCCACTGGTCCGATGAGAGGGAGCAAGGGTAAAAGACAGGAATTGAGAGGGTCTTTGTCTTTTCTGCCTCTTCTGGTGTCTTGGCAACCCGTCTGGGCAAAGGTCTTGGAAGCAGCAGTGGGGAGGCAGAGCAGGAGACCTCCTTGAGTGTATCATTACTACGTTAGTTAATAAATCAGATTTTTTGCTCTTTTATGTGCCTTGCACATGCATGTATCTCACATGATTTCCCATCATTTGATACTTTGCATCTCAGCCTATGAAGCAAACCTATGGAAAATATTGTGTTCACATCATGATGTGAAAGCTCCATGTGTAGCATCTAAATATTAACTGCTTGAGCACATTTGCAAGTCTCAGGTTTCCATTTCATCCAAATGCATATGTATCAACCACCCTGAAACTATTTGAAGCAGAATTGTTATATAGCACGGCACATTGCCTGGGAACACTATAAACTGCATGGTTAGCGTAATGGCACACATACAGTTTAGTTCCAACACCAATGCCTATGTGTGAGTGGGGCTGTGCCAGGTAGACCCACCCACCAATATCCCACAAATTACATAGCTCCTACCTTTCATGCTTACAGCACTAATGTCTGTTCAGAGGGCCCTATGAAACCTGATAGTGCAGGGCTGTACCCCATGCAGAGATTTTGTGCATACAGCTGAAATTGGAAAGCTGTGTCCATGGATGTTAGGGGAGAGGTTATATAATAGGGGTGAAATTAGTGACCCCTATTACTTGTCCGGCTCCACAATCAGCTCACAAGGTAAACTAACCCTTTTTAATAAGGCTTGCATAATCCTGAACAACTAATCCAGATCATTTGTCCAGGTTTTTTAAGGCCAAATGTTAGGAAAGTCCAAATAAATCCTCAAATAAAAGGATATGCTTTTGCATGGCCTTTAATATAAAATCTGGCAGCCATGCCTTTACTCCCGCATCCCATCTGCAGGGTTTTTCCTTCCTGGTTCCTTCTGGCCTTTCAGATAAGGCAAGTTCCTGGCAGAAACAGCGTTGAAACAATTGCCAGCTGCACTTCCTTTGCAATGTAAAAATACCTAGCCAGCTCATGCTTTGTCTTAAGGAATTCTGTATGGTCTGCTCATTCCCAGATGCTGGATAAACTGGGGTCTGTAATGGAGCACTCATTCTCCTAGGCTATTCCATCACCATCAACATTCAATGGGTCATCATGTTTTTCCTGATGCCTAAAAAGATTCCTCAATATTTCTGTATTATTCCCCATTGTCCTCACCTTCTCACCCATTCAGAATCTCATCACTGCCTTGAAACTATGTACATGACCTACAACTTTAAAAAGCTCTGTGTTCTAGAAGATTGTAGCCAGTTCGGCACACTGGCTACCTGACTGCAATGTTGTTTTTTCTCTGTCACAGAGGGGTCCCTGGGTGTTCTGCCAATAAATTGCTGACACTGAGCATAGCATCTTCCTGCATACATTCTTCTGGTTCTGCAGTTCCAAGATTTCCTGACAGAAACTTTGGCCTGACACTAAATCAGAACTGACCAGATAATAGAAAAACTGTAGGGAAGGAGAAAGGGGAAGCAACAAAGAGCTCATTCATAGCAGGCCAAAGCATAACTTAGTACTTCAACTGACTCTGAATTACCCTTACATTGAAATTAAATTAAGATGCTAGATTAAGATGCTAAGGAGACACTCTTATTCATATATATATATATATATATATATATATATATAGGCAATGAGAAAAAGACCTTCATTGTTTAAAATGCTTTATTGGGTGCACTTGAAGGTAAATGATCAAAGACAATTAGTAGGAACGCAGTAAACAAAAAATGAAATTGCGGTACCACTCTAGCACATTAAAGTTGAACCCTAGGCAAGCTCTTTAAGAAAGATTCTCTTTTCCCAGTGCCAGAAACAGCATCTAACAAAGGCTACACAGATTTGAGGGTTTTTGTTATTTCAGTAACATTCAGTATTATAGCTCCATAGGTTTTTAAGGTCTGAGGAAATAGCTGTGAGCATTGCCCTAATGAAGCCAAAATTTCAAATTAAATCAATAATCATGGATAAGACATGAACTGCATTATTTTGGAGACATAGTAAAAAAAACTATGTACAGGTTTAATGATGCATATGAAATTTGTATTTTGGCAAATTTAATTTGAGGAATGACATCATTCAAAAAGTAAATCGTATACCCTGCTTGGCATATGAAACTGCTTATATTTCCTTTCAAGTATTTAATACTTTGGTTTCTTCTACAGAGAAACATTAGTAACAGATAATACAGATCAGAATTTTCTTAATGATTCCTGTTAAGGAGAACAGAATCTGCCAGCAAAAACAATACTGCGAGTTTTGTTGTGCTTAAAGAAGTAAAGAAATGGATGATCAGCTTTGAATTCATCCTTGTGTTGCAGGATCCGGTATCCAGGTACATCACGGGCATCTGCCCCGTCTTCAGCTACTTCCAAGCAGACTTTGTGAATGACTTGTGACAAAATTACCCCTTTGGATTCTGACATCTCAGAGAAATCTGATGCACTTTCGTCAAACATATGGGTCATGCCAAGGCTTTCCAAAATAGGCTTGAAATCATATTCTCCTTCCACTTTAAATTTGGGAAGAAACACATTCACTTTTGTGTTTGCCATCACACTTGGATTGGTCCATTGCACTAGCTTCTCAGCCGTGAGCTCCTTCTCGAGCTGAAGTCATAAGAGAAGAAGGCAATATTTTAGGGTTAGGATTAGAATATTTTTTGTATGTAGCACATGCCACATTGGCTGGGGATTGTGGTGGCGCTTGTACAACACATCTACAGGGACAGGTTGCAGAAGACTGGGATGTAACAAAGTTACAGCAGTTTCTCTGGCTAGGATATGTGTATCTTTCAAGTGCTACCATCCTGGAGGGCCACCACCAGTTGCAAACCCCTTCATACTGTGCTTAACAATGAGTCCATAATGTGGAGCTATAGGCATATGATGATCTACAGCTGGCCTGAACTTATGATTCCCCATGCTAGGTAGAGCCAATCAGCCAGTGAGGGAGGCTCACCGAATCCAGGAGGTTTGCCTGGTACCACACAAGCATTTAGGTTGTCAAGCATCAGGCAAGACATATTACACAGATGAAGGGGTCCATCTGGCTTGATAAGTCACAGTTTGTGCAGGCCTGATCTGGCCATGCAATGGCTTTCTGTGCGCAACTCATTTGGTGTTGACAGTTGTCATCAGCTGAATTGCTGCAACATCAATGCAACATCATGACTTCACCGATGGAATTCCACTTGTTGTTGAGAAGTGAGCTACTGTTTGCTCTGACAGTAGATTTTGCACCTTTGTGCTGGGCAGTCGCTAAGACTTATCATTGCAAGATGGTGAACATAACATCTGCAGACACAGAGCCAAAAAGGAGCAAAGACCTCTTTCGCTCCCCTCTAAACAGACCATTATGAAGCATTTGAGGTTGAGAATAACCAACTGCAGGTGTTACCTCATCCACCAAAGGGATTCCTACCTGTTCCAGCCCAGTGGTGTCATCCTCTATATCCTTAGGCAGTAAGATGAGCATGCTTATGTGCTTGTTAAAACAAGGAAGTTCCAGAGACTTGACTTTTAAATCATTTATGTAGCCTAGGCAAAATGTTGCTTCCAGGTTCATCATCTGCACTGGCTTGGTTTCAGTCTGTAAAGAAGAAACAGAATCTGGAAGGCGTTTGCTTGAAAGCCAGAGCTGTGGTTCAGGCTGCCTGCTGAGTCTATGTGCGTTGAAAGTGCACCTTGAAGGGGGATTCTGCTAAACTCTTCTACAGATATAGACAAGTCTACAAAACAACTTTAAGCAATTCTTTGGTGGGGGAAATGCTTTTAAACTGGCTTTGCTTTGATTAACATTCTTCACACAGAAATTTAAGAAACCCACTCTTGTGCAAATCAAGGAACTGTACTCTTTGGCTACTGTCGTGCAAGCAAGAACTTTAATTTTGGCATCTTTTCTCATAAAACTCAGGCAGAAGCTGGTGGAGAAACACTATTAGGAAGGGTTACCCTGTATAAAAGAGCTATAACTCGACCTGACCCCAAACCATCTCTCTGGTGCAAGCTCAATCGTAACATACTGAAGTAGCCATCTGCTTGCACAGCCTTATAGCCAGCCAGGTTTAGGTGCATGATGACCATCATGATGCCTTCTAATCTCATCATATGCTCTGTATGAAAGGAAACATAGGAAGCAAATCATGCTTTTCCCCATTGCATTAGTCACATAGCCAGCTTGTATCACAGCTGAACTGGATGTCTATTTAGAGCAGAACTGGGGTCATGGGAACTGAACCAAAGACTAGTTTAAAGGCTCAGAAGAAATCAACAGTGTCATAACATCCTCTGCACTTGCTAATGCAAAGGAGGAAGACAGTGGATTGCAACTAAACTATATCTTTCCAGTGGTGGATAATGCTAGCGCAATATTGTTAAGGTGTCACCATTGGATTCTGGTCAAGAACTTGCAAGTAATATTTAATTTCTTTTTTTGAATGTTTTGGTGAAAAACATGACATGCAATTATTTTGAGTAGGAAAAGCTTTCTTGCATACCTTGTTTATTCTAAAAGGACATTCCTTAGTTTGTCCCTCGGGAAATTTCTTCATCCAATTAGTTATAAAATAGGCTGCATTGATGAGAAGGATCTTTGTTTGGTCATTGACACTCCCCTCGATCAAAATGTTCTCCATTTTACCTGTAAACTCATCCACAAGAATATGTCATGAGAAGAGTATCCCCCAAAAACCTCAGATGCAGCCCAAGTTAGCACCTCCAGAATCATCTAGATCAGTGGTGGCAAACCTATGGCACTTGTGCCGCAACGGGCACACAGAGCCCTCTCTGTTGGCATGCAAGCCAAGTCGCCCCAGCAACCGAGCATCGGATAACAGTGCACATAGGGGCCATGCGCACACTTGGAAAGGAGCAGCAGCACCAGGCGATGATGTCACGAGCCGCGACTCATTAACCATGACTCGTCTGAGCTTTTGCATGGCTGGTCAGTGCGCTGCCAAGGATATATATATATTTGCTTGGACTGAGTGTGAGTTGTTTTTTCTAAACTAACCCTCACTATTCAGGTTTATTGCAGTGTTGGCACTTTGTGATAAATAAGTGGGTCTTGGGTTGCACTTTGGGCACTTGGTCTCTAAAAGGTTCGCCATCACTGATCTAGATCTTCAGGAACCTGTTAGATGTTCTGAGAGACACCAAGACTGCTGGTTGCAAAAGATGTGGCCTATGGGGAAAATATTCCCTTGGCTAACTAACTAGATAACTAACTAACTGCAAAACTAACTGCAAAAGATGTGGCCTATGGGGAAAATATTCCCTTGGCTAACTAACTAGATAACTAAGTGTTTATGGTTTCTATGGTTTGCCCCAAGTGTATTACACATACACTTAGCATAATAGTACAGCTCATGGTTCGTGGAATGCCCTAGAACTCATATTTTAGGGTTGGGGAAAAGCCCTGCTGGAGACCTTGGACAGATTCTGCACACAAGGTAAACAACACTGGGCTAGATGAACCAAAGGTTTGATTCATTTTATGTTTGTTTCCAGAGGACTCTCCTTATCTACTTTTTCCTTTCAGGTTTACAAGGAATTATTCATGGTGCTGAATGCCATCCCCGAAAACAGAAACATCAAGACCGCAAGGTATCATGAGCAAGCAATAATTGAGAATCATACAGTTTCAAATTTTGTGGGAAATTCTGTTTAGCAAACTGATATGTGAGGCTGCGGACTTAACATATCAACATACACCATCAGGTTAAAAGAACACACCAAATGAGAAGCATTCCCAAGAAGGAATGAAGATTCATATAGATGGTCACCATGTTCAACACATACATGCATGCATGCACAAACCCTTTCTGTTTCCACTTAGCTCCGTTTCAGAGCCAGCTGAACCATAACAACATATATGCGATTAGCAACTGCATAACATACTTTGTGTAAATAGCTTCAACTCTTCCATCCCACACTGAAGGTCCTGTTTGGACTGAGGACCTCACACCTGCTATTTATATTGAACAGAAAGCTTCCATTGGCATCAGAGCTCTTCTTTCAGAGGAAATAGTTTGCCAATCACTGCAGGGGCCAAAGGGATGAAGCCATTCTCACTCCTCCATCAGTGCTGTCTACACTTAAAAAACATTCACAGAATTGCCTATTGTAGGAATACAGTCACTTTCAACTTGTATTTAAATGCACGTTCTCTCGCATCCACAAGCACACACACAGTCCCTGTGGCACTATAGCTCTACCTTCAAAGAGAAGGAAGTGTTCTTCCTATATTCAGTGTTCTTTCTATATTCTGCCACTTGGGGGCACTGGGAACCCAGCATTCATGTAAGGCTAAGCTACCTTATCTCAGGTCTCCTGCCTTAATTATACTGAAAGCCTTCAAAGCTTATTGATTGCCAATAGAAAGCATTCAAAAACCACCAAACATCTATCATCCACTTGGGTAAGGTTGTAGATTTTTTTAATTTAAAAATTTTTAAAATACAATCCTCCAAATGTGATGATGATGAGTTTGATCACTCTGAAAGAGAAGGCTGTCAATTTTATTTTTTTTTTTAAATCAGGTGAAGTCACCTCATTAATATGTTGCAAGAAAAACAACAATATGTCTTGTGGTACCTTAAAAACAAATGCATGCTTAATTGCATAATGTGTTAATATGAACTAGAGTCCATCCCCTCAGAAGCAAGGAGTTTTATGGTTTTAGCTTTAGTTCAATGGATTGGGGACCACAGGTATGAATAGTTCATCCAGCCTGATTGAAACTCCTGGCAAGATTGTACATTGGCCCGGTTGTGCAAATGCCACCAGCATGCACATGGTGGCAGTGCAGTATTATTTCTCTCCTGTGAGTAGGCAAACCTGGTCACTAACTCTAATTTGCCATTGACATTAAGCACCCCCCACCCCCCACCCCGCTATTCAGCAGCAGAACAGATGAGCTTGCAAAGCTGTGGGACTGGGGCAGCAAAAGAAGCAATGCAAGGTTGATAAAGTTTAGGGCCAAGCAAGGTGCGAAAGAAAGGTCCGTTGGGAACCAAGAGCATCATTTAAGAGTTGACTTTGCCTATTAAAATGTTTATGGTAAACACCATCTATATCTATCTGAGGAAATTAGAGTTCACCTCTGTGTATAAAAAGATGGAATAGATTATTAATTAAAAGGGCACTTGCCATCCGTAAGATCAGAAACGGATTTGTTGATTTGCAACCTGGTGTCTTCCATTTTGTCTTTAAAATCTACTTGTTCAAATTCCGCTGGGAAGGGTCGTTTGACAGAGCTGACAAATTCCTGCAAGATACAAGGAGCCAAATAAAAGCCCTGATACAAACCTTTCCTTACCTGATGTACTCCAGATGGGGTTACACTTCCTATCATTCTATGGCAATGCCAATGGGAGTTGTAATCCAATATACCTGGAGAGCTCCAAAGTGGGGAAGGCTGTATAACGCTGAACCGAAGTTCCTAATATTGAGCTGTATTTGGTCAATGCTCCAAAGCGAAAGCCACCTTTTTGAGGAAACTAAATTTTTACAAGCATTTTTCCCCACTGTAAGTTGAACTTTTAATTACTCATGAGATATGAGTTTCATTCAGTAAGATGCCTATAATTACCTAAATTCTATGGCTATCACAATGAATAAAATACCACTTCAAGATGAAAGAACAAAATTCCTGTCTGCCTTTGTCATAAGAGGACCCATCATTAGGACTGTTATCATTGTTCTGTCCCAATCTTCCAGAGTGAATGAACAACAGATGCAAATATTAAAGTCTTTCCACATACCATTTTCTATTGCACTGAACCAAACTCATGGCCTTTGTCATTTTGCGAACTGATGACGAAGGTCCTATTACATAACACACGTGAAGCATTTAATGGCTGACATACCACAGGCCTGCACAAATAGTGAGCAACTCATCAGGATGCAGTCCATCAGCCATGCGTGATAGCCTACTAGGGTTTCTCTATATCATTTTTTTTCTGCTGTCTCCCTGGGACCACAGAAACAAGTTGTCAAGCAGCAGGCAAGACACGCTACATAGCAAGTGGACTGCCATCTGTTTACTGTATATGGTATGAGATGTTCCCATATATGTCCATGTAGAAAAGTAAGGTATATCACTGCACAATATATTCCACCTGTTATTATTGGCTTGGATCCAGGATCAGCCTTCCATGGACAAGAGAGTCCTACTCATGGAAACTGTATCTGCCTGACTTTGAACAGCTCACCAAAGTCGACAGGCTCCTCCAACCCTCTGCATAGTATCTTCAGGGAGCTGGAGGGGCTTCCATGTGGTGGAAGGGGCAGGGAAGTCCTCTTTTGCTGGTCCAGTTGCCTGCACCTAAATCCCCATCCAACCTATTATCATAATTTTCATCATGTTATAAATTGCTGCAAATGTATCACCTAGATATACCAGTTCACCAACATGACACAAAAGAAACAAATGCTGACAAATATCTTAAATTCATAATTATTTATGGATGGAGAGAGAAGGTGGAACAGCACCAGCTAGCAATGGCTGGCTAAGAGCTTGCAGTATGGGTGGCCATTAGGGATGGTTCCAAGTGGAGCTTGCAAACTGGTGACCTGCTTCAACAGCCACAAACTGTGGCAGGCCAGGATTAGGCAGGAGGCTTTTCTGAATCCTTGGTGCTCTCGGCTGTCATTCAGAGTCACGAGCTACAAATGATTTAATAGCTTTGGAGTGCTGAAAGATTGTGAACTCCTGAAATGCCACATGCTGGTGCCAGGGTGGAATTCTTGGCATTGGACCCCAGTGCAGTTTCTGCTTGGATCCCTCAGGGATCTTTCCTTCCTCATTGTAAAAAGTTTATATTCCTACCCTAAGACTTTATATTCTAGAAGGTTTACATTCCTGCCAATGCAGGCACAGCAGGATTGCTCATGCTGAATTCTAGCCACTGCTATCCTGCTTTCCTCCAGGCTCCTGGGATCAGGAAAAGTTCCCAGGGGACTGATTTTTCTTGTGAACAGACAGACTCCAAAGAAACTAAGATGAGAAAAGCACAGATGTGGTTTTGTGTATGTTTCATGCCAAAGTACAGTATTATAAAATAAAGCAGCTAAAGCGCTCAGTTGGGGTATATATACTGTATTGGCATTATATCAAAGAAGAGGTAAAAGGGGGATGCAAGGATGAAGATGATGATGAAGTATTCTGAACACTTACAGTAGTTATAGTACACTTTAAAAATACCCTGATATTTTCTGAGTACATGTGCTTTTAAATTGTCTTCCTATTTCTTGAAAGGAAACCTGTCACTACAAATGGATTTTCCATGCCCTTTTGACAGCTAAAAGGCTGAAACTGCAACACTGGAAAGATAAACAATCACCTCCAATAATGCAGTAGAATGAAGACTTTAAAACATTTTCAATATTTGAGTGGGAGACATAAAGATGCCACTCCCAACTGGATATATAAATGAATATTTGACTTTTTTGACATTTATGTATAATTATGGATTTTGGCTGTTATTTGGATATTTAGATAACAGTACCTGTTAATTTTAGGAAGGCAGTTTTTGTTTCTCTTGTTTTGTTTGGTGGTGGGGGCAAGACCATTTCTTTCATTTTCTTTTCTTCTGATGAAATTCCCCATAAAAGTAAAATTAAAAAGCTACAGTAATTTCTTTGTAAAAACCCACAGTGAATCTTGTGCCACCATAAAGGGCAACTCATTTATTAGGGAATATGCTTCCATGACTGGGAAACGAGGGAAAATTAAACACAAGTGGGAATTAAATGGCATCAAAAGGTAAAAATAATGTCATATGTGATTGGTGACCCTCTAATGACAGAAAGCCCTTCGGATGCAGCAGCGGTTTTCATCAGCAGAATGGGAAGACAACAATTTTGAATTATTTGCTCTCCCATCCCAAAATCTGCTCCAAAGAGTTGGGGATCTTCAGCTGGGAAGTTGTGCAAGGTACTGAAGAGAAAATTATCAGAAATCACTTCCCTTTAAGCTCTGCTAACGGAAATGTTCATGACCTTAAAAGTCCTTCTGTCAACAGTAGGGTGCCTAATGGATATACCCCATAGTGTGTGACAATTCAGTCTCACATCCATAATAAAGTCAACAAGTAAAGCTAAGCACAGTGTCTGAGTTGGGGTGTAGATCATATAACACATCTCACAAGATAACATCCTCATAAAGCAAACAATAAAAACATATATTTAATAATGCCAATGTTGATGGGAAGTGGGGAATTGTGCTTCAAATTTCAAATACATTGATGGTTTAGCAATCTATCATAATTGTACATAAGTAATAGACAAGGAAAGAAATGTCTGTTAACAATTTATTATCTTCCTTAGGTTTGGGCTAAGATTTTTGATTAAAAGTTTGTAAGCAAAATATTAAGAAACTTTTGCAATAAGAAGAATTACATTGGAATTTAAGTTTGTGTTTGTGTATGTATATATAAACCGTCCTGAGACACTAGTAATGGGACGGTAAATAAAAGCTTTAAATAAATAGATTATCAAATCAAATCCAGATGTTTACAATTAAAGATACATATAATGGTAGAGACCATACTAATGGGATTTCAACCATAACATTCAACCAGCTAGCTCCATGAAAAATAACAGGTATCTTTTTAGCAGCTTACCGTATTAGGGTTCAGAGACTTTTCTACAAACAACCGTTTGACCAGTTTCAGTGAATAAAAAGAGCTAAGCTTGGACACATCAGTTGTTATTGTTTGGAATCCGAAGGGAACGTCTTTGACATTTTCTAAATGAAGGGCCTGTTAACAAACAAGGTTAAACATTGCTTTCAGTAGAAGTCACCGGAAATACAGATCTGTCGGGATGAGGCAGCCCATCACAAGGGCCATTCTGGATCCAGTCACTGGCATTTCTGCTCAGCATTCTGTTCCCCCAAAGGCCAACCAGATGGCTATGGGAAGCCCATAAGGAGGGCACACAGGCAAAATCCCATGCCTGCTGCTCTTCTCCAGTTACTGGTATTTAGTCTCCTGCTGGGTTTGACCCTGGAGGGAGCATCGTTTAGCCACTGGTAGCATCGCTTCTCATGAATTTTAACATCCCATTCTAAAGCTTTCTAAGTTGGTGGCTGCCACCACATCTTGTGGAATCAAGTCTGATCATTTAACTTTATGATATATGGATAAATGCTTATTTGTCTGGCCTGGAGGAACCCAGGTTCTTCACAGAAACACAGAATCATAGAATAAGAGTTGCAAGGGGCCATTAAGGCCACTGGGTCCACCCCGTGCTGTTGCAGGTCACCAATTTACACCATCCCACTCAGATGGCTGTCCAGTTTCTTTCTGAATGTCTTTAGTGTGGGAGACCCCCCCCCCAACCTCTCTAGGCAGCTGGTTCCACTGTCGTATTGCTCTGACAGCAAGGAAACTTTTCCTGATATATAGCCTGAATCTGGGTTGTCACAGCTTGATTATTCCATGTCCTACACTCTGGTTTCAGTTAGAAGAGATATTGACCTTCCTCTTTGTGACAGCCTTTGAGGTACTTATAGAGGGATATCATATCTCTTCTCAACACTGAACATACCCAGTTCTCTTAGTCTCTCCTCACAGGGCAGTGTTTTCAAACTATGAATCATTTTTGTTGTTCTCCTCTGGACCCTTTCTAATTTTAATGCATCTTTCTTAAACCTTGGTGCCCAGAACTGGACACAGTACTCCAGATGGGGTCTGACTAGTGAGGAGTATAGAGGAGCTACTACTTCTCATAATTTGGAAGTAATACTTCTATTAATGCATCCCAAAATAGCATTTGCCATTTGGCAGCTGCACTGCATTGTTGACTCATATTTAGCCTGTTGTCCACAATTACTCCAAGGTCTTTTTTCTTGTTCAGTTCTGTTGAGCCACATATTCCCCATCTTGTATCGATGCCTTTGTTTTTTTTTCCTAGGTAAGGACAAGTAAGGACAGTAAGAACAGTAAGGACAAGACTTGGCACTTGTCCTTACTGTTGCTTTCAGCCCAGAGTTCAAGTTTATCAAGATCACTCTGGATCATCATCCTTTCTTCTAGGGCGTTTGCTATTCCACCCAGTTTTGTATCATCTGCAAATCTGCTTATCTTTCCTTGTATTTCCTCATCTAAACCATTAATAGCCTTCCTCCAGTTTGAGAAGGTGCCATTGAGAAGCATTCTTTGTGTCTGATTTAGTAGCCAGTTTTGGATCCATCTAATAGTTTTTCTATCTTGTCCAGTGTTTGCTAATTTTCTTATCAGAATGTCATGGGGCAATATGTAAAATTGCCTGTGTTATCATTGCAAGAGTTTGTCCACTAACCAGAGTGGGAGGGAAGGAGTTAATGCTATAGAAAAATATGAGACCAACTTCTCTGCTTGAGCTATGCCCTTCCTGTCCCTTCGCTCCTCCCACCTCACCTGGAAAAGCTGAACCTGTATATAACCAAATATACGACAGTTCTTGGATTATATGGAGAGGGGGACCTTTCTATTTACTTCTATTTACAGCTCACATAATTGTATACACCTCTGTCATGTCCCCCTGTTGCTTGTCTTTTTTCTCTACTAAGTAGTGCCAAACATTGTAACCTTTCTTTCAAAGGAACTTCCTCCACAGCCCTCTGATCCTTTTAGTTGTCCTTTTCTGACTTTTTTCCCAGCTCAACGGTACAGCTTGATGTGTGATGGCCTATGTGCCAATTGCTGGGGAACTTGGGTGGGGTGGGGGTGTGGTACTCCTATCCTGTTTGTGAGATCCTGTGGGCACTAACCTGGCTACTGCATGGACGGAATGTGGGACTAGATGGAGTCTCAGTCTGATCCAGCATGGGTCTTATGCTTGCATGCATGTATGTATGATCTCCCCTGCCCTTTCTTCCCCCTGGAACTCAAGACGGCTGTATGAAGTTCCCAGGTGGTCTCCCTTCCAAGCTCAAGCCAACCTCAGGCAGACTTAGTTTCAACATGGTGGATGCCTTACATGCCTTCAGACAAGGAAATATTTTGACTTGCCCAACTTTTGTTTTTATCCCAAATACTTTCAAAGGTAAATATTGGTACAGCCCTGTATCTTATTGTACAGTATTACATTCTGTTCCACTGTTTCCAATCTTGCATCTGAAAATATCCTCTGTGGAGACAGGCCAATGTTTTTCTACTAATTCCCACCTAAGAAACATGTACAATGTCATTTGAATGTATATGGAGGGGTGCTGTCAAAAGGTATAAATAAGACAAATTCAACTTAGGCAAATAAAGGGATATTTATGCACACACCATTTTCATAGCTGTGTTACCTGATGTCCAAATTAAAGGCACACTTACCTGTTTCATTTGGTCTGCTGTATCACCTTTGGCAGCTTTGTATGCAAGAGCCAGAGAAGTTGAAGTGCAAAGTGGAGCAAAAATAATATTAGCAGTTTTGTCCTTTTCAGCTAATTTTTTGAATACATCAACTGCAAAAGCAGTGTTTGCAACTTGTACGGCATCCATTGCTGTGGTTCTGAAACAGAAAAGATCGATGTATTGGTCAACCAATCAATCATCTATAAATAATTTCCATTAACAGATTCATGTTCAGCATACCAAACCCTACAATGGATCATGGCCTAAATATAATCTTACACAAATCTACTTAGAAGTAAGAGCCACTGAGTACAATGGGATTTATTCCTGATAAGAATATACATGATTGCAGCTTTGGTGTATTTTCAGAGTTCTTTAAGCCTAGAACCTTCAATCAAAGAAAAGTCTGATTATTTCAAATGACATTTGAAGTTTAGTCACTTCCAAAACCTTCTTTGCCTTCTTACAACTGTCAGATCACAAAAATCCAGCAACAACAGAGAACACAACAAATGGTAGAATTCTTCTTCTATACAATTTAAAAGATAAAATAGCCCTGACACAGTCCAACTTTGAGCTGAGTGGTAAGCAACCTGCAGCCCTCTGGACGTTTTGGCCTTCGGCTTCCATTATCATTCACCACTGGCTATACGCACCAGGGGTGATGGGAGCTGTAGCCCAAAATATCCAGAGGGCCACTAGTTCCCATCCACTGTCGTCTCTCACAGTTCCAAAGCAAGTCCTGAGAAGGTGGGTGAATTGAATGGAGGGAATGGGGCCCCATGAGAAGGTCTGCGTAAGGCCTGCTGGTGTTGGCCCTCCTTTGTTCCATCCCATTTGGCCACCTCCATGGGTTTGTTACTGATATCATTTTGGCTGTCAGGAATATTTGTGCAAGTTCAGCACAGGAAAGATACCCAAATCTAGTGGCTTGGACATAAATATTGCATAATTTTGTGTAAATCTGAGTGCTAAATTTGTGCACCTGCATTAACTGCTCCATTACTGCATGTTATTATACGATGCTTATACATAGATAAAATTCCCCTCCATCTATTTCACCGCTATTAAATTTCAATATATTTCTGCCCTTGTTTTAGAACTGTCTGACTGCAGTTGACTGAGGAAAATGGTGAGATATAGCTATGTTTGGGACTATATCTCAAGAACCTTCTCAAGAAACTTTACAGGTTATCTCAGAACCATTATGCACTGGGAACCTGAGTTGTTCCCCACTGGAACCTTCAAAGGCCATATCCACTGACATCCTTGCCATATTCTCCCCAGTCATTTTCTCTTTTCCCATACTGCTGGACCAGATCTGCCACCTGGAGGAACTCAAGAAGACTCCACAGACTGGATGTGAGACCTCCAGATTAGGCCCCCTGCTTTAATGGCTGAGCAGGGACATGTGCTGGAGGTTTGAGTTAAGTCTCCACTCCTGGGCCCAGCCTGCACTTTTGTAAAGAAATGCAAATGTTATAGAAGGCTAGCAAGCCTCCATTGACCCTCTTCCCAAAATAAACCAATCCTGCATGTATGCTATGTCCCTTGATCCTCAGAGAAGAGAGGATAATATAATAATATTTAGTAACATTTATCCTGGTGGCATGAGCCACCCTGCACTCTATGGAAAGTTGAAGAACAAATAGGGCTAACCAATCAATGTAACAGTTTGAGACGGGTGGGTAACAGGGAGTAGCTGCTGGACTGAGATCATACAGCACTGTTGGTAATATCTCTGTGTGGAGTAAGATAATCTGCAAACTTTCCCATTTGGAAAGCATGGCCCACATGAAAGAAAGAGGCCTGTGCTATAAACATTCTTTCTGATGTGCTCTGCTTTCACATGGTGCGTTTTTCCCCTTAGGAGTGTTACTTAAATGACTCTCCCTGTGAACTCGGTCGCCATGCTAGGAGGGGTGTAGTGAGTTCCACTTTTGAATCAGCTCTTCAAAGAAGAAGTCTGAATAGTTTCCTGAACGAGCAAAGGGTGCGGCATGCCAGACTGCAACAGAAATGCACGAACCATGCCAGTGTGTGATAGATAAAACCATAGCCAGAAAAGCCCCATTAACTTCAATTGTATATGCAGCCCATTTTTCCTGATGTAACATTCCCCTAGGAAAGAAGCAGTGGGCAAGAAGGCCAAGGCCTCTTCCATGGGAACGGTGGCATTCAGCAATCGGCCTCAAAGAAGAATTCTAATACGGATTCCCAGTGAACCAACATCCAAAAGGCTCAACTACTCAGCCGTTAGTCACAGGGAAATCTCAAGTGGGGTGGAGCCAGGGAAAAACTGAAGCATGGCCACAGTGAAGCGGTGCTGAGTCAGCACCTCGCAAATTGCTCATGGCACAGCGGCATCCCTGAAGCACCGCTAGTTTGCAATCCACCCACAGGAAATTAACATGTCTAGCATGAGACATTCTGCTTGCTGAAGTTTCTCTTTGGAACCTCCTTTAAAAATCCTGTTTAAGTTAATTCTTACACCCTGTTGATACATGCCCACGGGGGGTCATTCAATATCCACTTCACCACACACTGTTACTGTTACTGATAAATTGGCAGGTGCTCACTTATCTGAAGGCCTGTATGGGCAAACATGGATGGCAAGACATGGAGAGCATTTGGGCTTAAAAATACACTTGGCATTTTTACTGGTATTCTAATGGCTACTCGCTGGCATGTCACAGGCTGCTCACCTCAAGCCATCTTCCATGAGCTATTTCTGCCATTATATCCCAGATTTCTCCAGACCAAGGTTTTACTATCTAGCATTCTTCTCCCACAGTGTGCACTAAACTTGTGGTTCTGCTCCACAGGGGGAAAGGAGCCATTTCAAAGTGTGAGTGTGGGAGAAAGCTGGACAAACCAATAAGCCTTCAGTCACTTTCCCACTTCCCTCTGGAGAAGTGGAGAAGAAAGGCAATGCTGCTACTTCCTCCCCCGCCCCCTTTGTCTTTTGGCAAAATAAAGCTTGCAAAGTCTTTCTTCTTGCCTCAATGAATTGAATAACTGTCTGGTTTTCACATCTGTTCACAAATTAATCAGATTACTTTCCAGAAATAAATCACATTGACTTCAATGGAGTATGAATGTCAGAAAGTCAGCATGGGAGTGACACTGCAATCACTTGCCCTCAGGTAGAGGGAAGGGAGGGCGATGGGCCTAGTGGCTTCACTCCACGAAGGTGAGAGAACGGCAGCTTCCCCAGCCCTTCCTTCCCCTTCCCCTTATTTTTGCAAGGAGACAGAAGGAGCTGACTTTTTGTTTCTTTTTTTAAATCTTGACTCTTTGCTCATTTGTACTGGTGCCCAGTTAATGGAGTTTAAAAAAAAAAAAAACATTTACCTGTTCCCATCCTCTGTCCTGTCCCACATCCTGCTTCTGGAATTGTATTCATGATCTTGTATTCAACTGTATACAAGATCATGTTTTCAACAGAGTGGAAACTATGCCATATTCATTCGTTTGCACCCCAGCTGTGATAGATGCATTTGCCTAAATGTGCCCCCTCATAATTGGAAGGGGCTTCTTTAGTCTGGAGCTCAGGTCAGTCCCAGAGGTGTTTTACATGCTCTGATTGAAAGTGCAGCTGTTCTGCAGCCACCCAGGGTGTGTTTGTAATACATTATGAATTGGGAGTACACAGATCAACACTGTGTACGTTGGTTACCACAACAGTTACCACATCCATTCATACAATACTTGTTCATCGCATGAGAAAGATTCAGCTTCCCTGAAGGCTGTCATGCTGGTGGAGGATTACTTTGTAGGCAGGGCAGTTCTAAAGTCTTTGAGAAATGGCAGGATGGAATAATTAACTTCAGCTACTTGGGAGAGTGGGAAAGGCTGGCAGGCTGCGATCACTACAGGTAGAGCACCCACGGCCAAATATTCACATTGCTCTGACAGAACGTGAGTCCTGGCAGCACCGTTGCTGCCCTGGCTGCCAGAGTACTGCGAAACACCGTGGACCACATGGGAGAATCACACCCAGCAGCTGCATGACCACCATCGTGCCTGCCATGCGAGTATCATTAGCCCTGCTTATCTGTACATGGAATAAGAAGCATCCACAGGACAAACTTCTCCTGGGTGATCTGGGACTTCTCATCTTATACCAGCAGCACAGGAAGGAGCAGTGTTGATATGGCTCCCACACCACCCAGACAATGGGCAGTTACAAAATTACACCCCTTCCTCCCACTTGGGTATTTTCCTTGTTTGAAGAACCTAGGGAGAAATGCATCATGGTTTGGAGAAATCCCTCCAGACCCCAAATCTTCAAAAGTTTTCAGTATCAGATGTTGGCCACTTTGATTCTGTCTGGGATTCTGAATCCAATGCACATTCCTATTTCAGAGGTGGCCACGCATCCATGCCCTGACTTGCTGAGCTTTAGCAAGGCTGCTGTGCCATGTTCCTCCAGGTCATTCCTTGGCATCACTTACTTGGTAGCCTGCAAGTCAACATTTTCTGGCAGCCCTTACCAGAGATAACCCAGATATTGTCCAGGTTGTCTTGAAAATAAAGTGATCAAGATAATTTTACTTTCAGAAAACTCAGAATGTACTGTTGCAGATGTAACACAACAGCAGATGGGCTCACAGGCCCAGCTTGCCAGGTCCCCCTTTGGGTCCTGGCTGGTTCAGAATGATGTGAGTTGCAGTCATTTGGAAAGTGCTGGCATGAGCTGGTCCCTTCCCTCTTTCCTTCTGGTTGTCAAACTCAAGACAAACTTTGAAGGCCAGCTGAAATTTAGCAGACTAGAGAACAGCATGTACTCTGAATAGCCTTTCACCAGAGCTGAGGGAGAAGCATCTGCCCATGCAAAGAGAGGAATGAAAACTGGAAACTCCTCCTCAGTTCCTCCCTTTCAGTAAAGCTTCTGGCTTCAGGAGCTGGCTGTTGCTGCTGGAGAGCAAGATGGCAGGGAGAGCAAGGACCTTCTAATTGTGCAGCCCATGCCGCCTGTCACCTCCTTGCTGAGTCAGGGACTGGGTCTCACGTCTGCTCCTCCTCCCCTCCTGAAAATCCTTCCACCCCTTCCAAAGCAGGCTGCTTTCCATGCCTTGCCTGAGAAACTTCACTAGGCAACCTTGAAACTTCCAGGTTCTCCTCCACCCCCACACCACCCTCTCCTTTGCCTCAGCTTCAGAATCAGATAAATCTGTCTGGATAGTCCGAATGGAGCAAGAGACAGGCCCCCTCTCTGCAGGTACCAGGCTGGGGAAGCCTGTCTTAAAGGAACTGTCTCCAGGTGGAAGATCTATTTTTTCTGTGCATCTATCCATCTATCTGTGACATTTCTGTGCCGCCCAATAGCCAAAGCTCCCTGCACTTTACAACAGCTAAGACCATAGCATACAACATAAAGTTTAAAAGCACAGTATAAAATAGAAGCAAAAAATAAAATAAAACCAAGTGAGAGTGAAGACCTTTTTTTAAAAAAGATTTCAGAATAGCTCTTTTGTTGGCAAACCCATTTGTGGTGTTAAAAATTAAAAAAAGTTAAACCATTGGGAAGGGATAGGTGAGATGCCCATGCCTCAGCCATCAAAACTCTCTCTCTCACACACAAACACGCACGCACGCACGCACAGGTAGCCTGGCTATGTATTTGCTATGAGCGGCTAATACTGAGTCTTGTTGGCGGCCCTCCAGGTGCTGCTGGCTCAGCTCCCACTGTGCCTGTCCACTGGCTGTGCTAGCCAGACCAGGTGGGGGCGGCAACCGCTTCCGGAGGTCACAAATTGCCCATCCCTGTTCCATGGGGAATATTTAAAAGAGCATATATGTGGAGAAGAACATTAAAGCTGGAGAGAAAAACAACTATTCCCAGGCCCCCTGTAATTCAGATTCAGAGATAGGACCAATCTCTCTCTCATGCACACAAGCAGAGCGAGAGCCTTACTGACTTTTCTCACTATACAGGCAGCTCTTTGCCAAGAGAAAAGATGGTGGGGCAGGGGGAACGCCAGACAGGGATAGACAATGCGTGGCCCCCCAGATGTTTTGGACTACAAGTCCCATCATCCCTCACCATTGGTTGGGCTGGCTAAGGCTGGTGGGTGTTACAGTCCAAAAGCATACTGCTTTGCTGGCATAAAGAACCACTTCATTTGGGTGAACCGAGATTTTAGACCACCACTATGGCTGTGGGAACGGTAGGAACCCTGATCATGCTGAGGGTGACTCTCAGTTTATGCATCCTCCTCACTCCAAGAACCAGGCATGAGTCATTCAATTAACAGAGTAAAGAAAGATGTGCTGAAGACAGACACACGCCCATGTGGAAAATTTTACCTGGGACACAGTCTCTTCTGCAACTCCCAGAGTCCCTGGGTGCCCTTGGACAAAGGATCCTGGGCGATTCTGTCTTTCCATCCTTAGTGGATTTTTGGTGATAAGACAGAATAAGCGCGAGGTTAAAAGTTCAAGGTTTCATTGTCTGCAACCCCCTTGGGGGAAAAAATCCATGAATTTTAGTGCAATAAAAGCTTCATCTAAAAGCATTCTCTGCCTCAAACACACACCAATGCACAAAAGGTAGATCCAGCCAGATGGGTGAAATCATCTGAATAAATAAGTTTGTCAGTCTTGTTCCTCGGATGATTGTCAAAATTATTTACTAATAATGCAGTCTGCCTGAAAAGTAAGCTAGTAATTCTTGTACTCTAATAGCATGGTATGTAAAAATAATTTGCTTAGAAATCTCCCTACTCTCAGAAAAAAATAAGGCATACATTTCTGTGTCTCTAGTCAACATTATTTTATCAGGTACAGCCACAGACTTAGCTAAATTTTCTTGCAAACCGAAAAGGACATAAAGGAATGCAATAACAAACATTTTCCTTGTGGGGGGGGAAAAGCCTTTTTACCAAATGAACTCGTGCTAAATGAGAAAAACTTCCTATATTTCAGCTGTTCGGTTCTTCTACAAAGCTCTCCCTGCTGCTTCCATCACTCCTTTCTTCAGACCCACTGGATACTTCACGAGGAAACCTAGGCACTTGCTAGAAGATATTTAATAAGCAACAACAAACACAATCACTTACCTCCTGCACGGCGACCCTACTCACCGAACTGGAAAAAATGCTGAAATAAACACAGACCAAAGAACTGGTGTTACTGGTGACACAACAGAGCAGGAGGTATGTGCTAGCTCACCTGGACTCCGATGCCACTCCCTCTTTTGTGGTTGTTCTCTTTCTCGCGCTCTCTCTCTTTCTCCCTTAATCATGCTTCTTGGCAAGTTACCCATGACAGAAAAATGAGTTTGGGCTGAACTTGCCCAGCAGAAAGCTCCAAAAGGCCAAAACATGCTCCAGCAGGAAGCAGCCCTCTTATGAAAACTCCCGCTCCCTCAGGAGGATCTTGCAAAGAAGAAGTTTGGCAAAAGGTTCAGGCAGACAAACTCATGTGTAGTCAGAAAATGAAGAAATGAACAGAGATGTTGCTGTTGCTTTTGGCAGAAATGGAACTATGCCCTGAAGAAAAGAAAACGAACATCAGTGAAATAAATTGGATTGTTCTGCTTTCAGTCCAGCTCAGCCTCGGAAATGATACTAAGGTCATGTGAAGCAGCCAGAGATGGGTGCATGCACAGAGCTGCTGTCTCAGGTTCACAGCTTATCTCAGGTTTACCTAGATTACGACTGTAGATTTCCTATAACCTTGGGAAATTAAGAGTTACAAAATGCATAGGACTGAACATTAGGTGTAGAATCTTGTAAAAGCAAAGCATGATGTCTCTAGGAGCAAATATCCCAGTGCTAGATTTAAAAATGCCAATATTCTAGTGAAAGGGACTGTTAGACTGGAATCTGGCATTGCATGAAAACTGTAGCCCCATAATCAGTCTCCTTGCTTAGTTTTTGGGCAAATTATTTATTTATTTATATTGATTGATTGATATCCTGCCTTTTTCCTACAAAGGGCTCAAGGCAGCTTACATCATTCTCCTCCTCCATCTTATCCCCACAACAACCCTGTGAGGTAGGTTGGGCTGAGAGTCTGTGACTGGCCCAAAGTCACCCAGCTGGCTCCGTGGCTGAGCGGGGACTAGAACCCAGATCGTCTGAGTCCCAGTCCCATGCTCTTAACCACTGCACCACACTGGCTCTGCCACACCCCAGAAACAGTTGGAGTGGTTTGTTCCAGCATGTTGTGAAATTAATCTCATCTCCCCAAATGCACTTTAGCAATACAGTATTAAATCAATAGGACTATCCTAAAATAATGCAGTATTTGCACACTTTATTCCATTCCACTAACTGTCTGCAATTCATCCCTGAACAACTGTAGCAGGCAAAACTTGGTACCTGATGCTAAATAATGTAGTGTTGAAGTTGGATCGCACTGAACTTGTAGCATTAACTGAAAAGGTGTGTGTGAAGAAGCCATTACAGCTTAATCATTGCAGATATAATTGCATGGTCAACCTCCAGCAAGTGAAACCCAGCACTTGCCCCTGGAAGTACTTCATATGTTTGGCACGAGAGTCTTTCTAAATGATCAAGTGATGGCATGCATGCATGACATTAAATAGATTTAGCGTGCAATCATATGCATGTTCAGATAGAAAATCTGCAGCATTTCTCAGCCAGCACAGCTGGCTTTGTGCAGATCCGCTGATTTTGCACAAATTGCAGGAAAGCCACGCAGTTTCAGGGTGCTTATTTGCAGTTTACAAAATATACACAAACCACCGCCCATCTTAAGAGATGGGAGTCTCCAAAACAAAATGAACGAATAGACAAACAAAAACACCTGGCTCGGTCCAGTCAGTAAACTAGTTTCAGTATATTCCTGCCACTGTATCCACTGAAATCAAAGGACACTGGCATGCCTGAGTCTGATGGAATTTCATTGTAAGAACACCTAGCAGAGTTAGAGATTTGTACGTTTTCATAGTTCCTGTGTGTGCATAATTTGTTCCTTTTTCTTGCTTTCCTGATAGAGGGATTGGGGACTATATATAAAGGACTCAAGCACCCAGTTCTAAATCATCTACAAGTGCTGAAGGTGCTTATCTTTACTGCCTTCAAGATATTTTCTGTTGCAGTTAGAACTTCTATGAAAGAAAGACGCCAAACTGCTGCAAGATAGTATCACAGATAAACACCTTGCTTATTGCCAGCTGAAATCATGCCTTAAGTTAGCTCTCCCAGGAGCCTTTGATATGGTGGATTTTGTATTGCTGGTAATACAAATACACACCCTGAGAGGTGCTTGACAGTTTGCTCTACAGTGATATATAGGTTTTATATACTGTAAACTTGTGAGATACAAACTTATTGTGAGATATAAACTTACTAAAATAATAATAATCTTCCAGATTTATATGACCATCATGGTAGCTGATGGAGTGCAATGCTTTCAAGGTGAAGGAGCAAATTTCTAGAAGTAAATTATTATTAATTACTTCTATGCTGCCCCATTTGCCAAAGCCTCGGGGCGGCTCACCTTCATAAATAAACAAACACAATATAAAACAGTATAATTTAAGTCACCCTGGCCAAAGAATAAAATAAATAAATAGTATTAACAATTAAAATAACGCTTGAATAAAAAGGTCTTCGCCTGGCACCGAAAAACAAATAACGACAGCGCCAGGCGGACCTCTCTGGGAAGCGCATTCCATAGACTGGGTGCCACTGCAGAGAAGGCCCTCCTCCGAGTACTTACCCTCCTAATATCCTTCATGGAGGATTCCCAGAGAAGGACCTCTCCCACTGATCTCAAGGGGCGGACGGGCATATATGGACGTAAGTGCTCCTTCATGTAACCAGGACCCAATGTGCACTTGAACATCAGAATTGAAAATGGAGTCACCAAACAACTACCTCTCTGAGTAGGTCCAGCTCTGTGTTGATGCCCTCCATTTGTCCAGTGGCAAATGTAACTGTATCAATTCTTCTCTAAGCTGACTGGGATTTATGTTTGCATCACATAAAACCCATCATTCACTATAAAACAATATGCCAAATACTTCTTAGGCTATGTACGTATTTGAGTCATCAACAGTAGAAAAGGTTCTCAGGAGATCTAACAGGAAAATCTAAAGGATATTATTTTAGCCGGCAATTTGCAGTGTTCAGAAAAAGTTGGGAAAAAAGCACTTGCTGATTAGTAAACCAACACCATTATCCTTAGCAAGGGTGTATTTATTGTGGTTTTGAGGGTGTCACTCTACTTTCCATAATGGAAGCTCTGACAGCACCATGAAGGAGCTGGAAAAGGAATACCTGTGAGAAATAGAACAGAGACATCTAGAAAAAGACAGCATAGCTTTGGGTATGGACAGGGAACCCAGATTTGTAGAAACAGTGTCAGGATAGCTGAAACTCAAGAAACAAAATCTCTGTCTGGCAAGCAATTTTAGAATTAATACTTTTTAATTTAATAAAACATTTTTTATCCCATCTTTCACTAACTGTCTCAAGATGGCTTACAGAAGCACTTTTAAAGGGTATATTCTTAGCAATAGGAAGGAAAGAGTAGACCTGGTGCCCAGGAAGCATGATAAAATCGTAAGAGGTGGCAAGGATGTAATGACTGGAAGACCTATATAAGAATATAGGTTAGTCATCTCCAGAAGGGCCAGGAGAATCAGAGGAAATATTGTCTGACAACAGAGAGGTGATCAGGCAGGGGCCAGGGCTCTCTGGAGCACTTTCCTTATATCAGAAGTTGCTCAAACTGGAGGTGAATAAATATTTTGCATCTTCTCCATTCTTAAGGTCAGTTTGTCAAAACCTTGTAAGATTGCCTTAACATTTTTCCTGAAAAGTCACACCCCATTCTCTAACTACATGCATTTCTGTGTGGAGTTTGGCTCATATATACATTTTGCAAGCAATTTTCTTAATATATTTTATTTTTATTTGCACACAGATGCACATTTGTATTTGCCCCTTTAAAGCACACATTTGGTATGTATTTTTATTATCCATTGAAGAATTTGGAGAAACACAAATTTTCAAAAACAACTACATTTGTAGCTATTCATTTATTTATTAAATTTGTGCCCCAGCTTTCCAGCTTTACCCCACAAAAAGTGGTGCTCAATGTGGCTAAAAATACTCAAATTGAAATTAAACCCAAAACTTCATGACATATAGCATGGAAAGCAAATTAAAATTTTTAAAGAAAGAGATAATATCCAACCTACTCAACTTACATGCCAAAGAACTGCTTGGGCAAAAATGTCTTTGCATGCCAATGGAAGTCCAGAACTAGCCTCCATCAGCACAGTGTTCCAGAGCCTGGGAGCAGCCCCAAAGAAATGTGAGAGAGTTTCTTCCCCTATCACTAGCACTGCCTGAGGACCAAGACTGTGGCAGCCTTTCTGTCAGCTCAGCGAGATCTCTTGGTTCCCAAGCTAACTTGGCCCAGTTGGGCTGCTGAGACATCTTTCTGGACCATACACTGTGGAGTGATGGTCGTGTTTTTTTTTCTTGTCTTGTTTTGGAAAAGCAGTTTGTGTTGGGAAATGACTGCGGGTTTTGCTCCTGCCCAATTTTGCTGGTGAGGTGCAGTTGGTGGAGGCTGCACATGCTTTAAGGCAGAGCACCTTAAAGCATGGAACAGGCTGAGCACCATCTCTGCAAGCAGACAAACCACCTCACCACAGAACTGGAAACTAATTCCTGTCCCTTAGCCCTCACCCAACCTCTTAGCAATCCCAGTTACCAGTTTCCACCATCTCACCCAAATCCACTAAGAGAAAAGAGAGAGATGTGTGTGTTCCACATCCTGGCAGCACCTTGCTCTGAGTCCCGGAAGGTTCTCTTCCCCCAGTTCCATGTACCTATTAGAAAGCATGAGGGACAAGCTACAGCCCTCTGGGATCCGCTTAGTGCATGGATGTTGTGGGATGAGCAGCTGTCCCCCAGTACAACTGTACTCAGGCAGCAAAGCAGGGGTCAGAATGAAAGGTGTGCCTTCCAGCCCACACATTTCGTCTGCTCTAGATGGATGGACAGTCGTTTCTGCATCTTGGAACATCTAATTTGCTGGCAGGGCAATCTATGGCAACATGACTGTCCAGATTAAGCAGGAAAATCACTGCAGAGAAGTGCTACTGTTTTCAGTGAGCGCACAAGATACTGCAGCTGGGTGCATCTACATCTGAATGGATGGCTAAAAAGGAATGTGGAATAACACATCATTTTTTTCATAGGAATCTGGGTGAGGCTCATTCATGTTGTTGCATGCTTCGTCCCTTGGAAGCCAGCAAAACAGTTGCAAATGTAACATGCAT